CTCAAGCAACTCAGCAAGACCTCTTTCCAAATAAAATATGAAAAAGAGCTGGTGTTACGATCTGGATGTGAGGTGTCGCTCCCAAAAGTTCATGTGTGTGATAATGCAAGAAGGTTTAGAGGAGAAATGATTGGGTTATGAGAGCCTTAAACCCAATCAGTGAATTAATCACCTGATGGCAAGTAGAATCCCTATCTCTGTTTCCTGATCATCCATGTGAGCTGCTTCCCTTGGCCACACTTTTCCACCATGTTGTCTTGCCCCACCCTTGAGCCCTGAGGAATGGAGCTGGCTGTCTATGGACTGAGACCTCTGAAACCAGGAACCCTCAAATAAACTTTTTCTCCTCTACAATTGTTCCGGTCGAGTCTTTTAATCACAGCAGAGAAAAAACTGACTAAAACAGCTGGAGATGTGGCTCAGGGGTAAAGTGCCCCTGGATTCAATCCCTGGTATCAAAAAAAAAAAAAAATTAAGATGAAAACAACCCATCTCTTAATCTGGGTGACAAGGAACAAACTATTGAAGAACTAGTAGAGACATCTTGAATGACTGTTATATATAAGTGAAGATGTTTCTTTATAACTCATACTTACTGAGAAGTACCTGGCCACGCTGAAGGCAATTTTACATTTTTAGAAGACACACAGGCGGGACAAGGTAACACTCTTGTTTTCTCTCAAACAGATAATTTTTTCAATCAATTGCCGTAGTTTCACGCAGAAAGAAAAAGCTACTATGATACTGTGAACCAAGTTTCAAGTCAGTGCTAGGAATGAACCATAAAAGATGTTGATTTGGTTCAGCTGACAGATGGCTCTGACTAGATCCTGCTCAGATCCTAGGGGTAGTGCCTGGGGAAGACGGAGGCCACGCAGGAGCCCTTCTCAGGACACACCCACTGACAGCTACGTTTTGACAAATGAGTTTTCCGTGTACCTAGTCTGACTTGTGAATGGCATCTGATTAAAATCATCCGATTTTTATGGTTGATGAGACCGCTGGAAATCAACCCTGGCTTGAGTACTATGTATTAGTTCAGTGAAACCTGGAGAACTTTGCAGATACCCCCCAAGTGTCCAGAAGAGCTGTTTCCTGGGCAGGAGCGGTCACCACCTTCCCGAATATTTTAAGGTTAGTTTAGATGATGATGAAAGCACATTTTCCCAAAGAATAAATAACACTCTGTGAAAGGACAAGTCTCGGGACTGCAGAGAAGAAGGGAGGAAGAAGTTTCTTTTTAATTCAAAAAGCTTTATAACGGCACTGAAAGGTGAGTGCAGTGCTCGGATCCACTTTTCAAACTGAAATTAATGCAACTGACGCTCCTTAAATGCTCCTCCTGCAACGGAAAGCACAGGGGCAGAAGGCCTGACTTACGCTAGGTCCAGCACCCGCTGAAATTGATCCAGTGCAGCGCTGGAAAGAGGCAGGACAGGCCCTGCTGTCTTGACTGAGAGCCTCAGCTGTTGGGCCCATGGGCGCAGGGGGATTCCCAGCTACTGCCAGTGAGGTGAGGGTCCCGCTGGGCATCCCAGATGGGAAGTGAAAAGACCCTGGTCCCACACAGAGCCTCCCTCTGCTGCCAAGGAGCTGCTGATGAGCTGCTGTGTGTTCTATCCTTAAAGAGTTTCTTACTTCTTCACTGTTAAAAACATAAGCTCTCCCCAGGGCCAGATGCTAAGGATCCCTGGACACAACACACCGAATCACCCTCAAAGCAATTCAAGGCACAAACATTTTAATTTCACACCTCCAACGAGGAGAAGGGTACTTCAGGTTGTAGATGACAGAGGACAGATACAGACAAGTTTCATTCCAGGGTAAATTAAGCCAGTTTGAGAGTCACTGACCGCAGAAAAACATGAAGACAACAATATGGAAGAGACACGCAGACCCGCAAATAGACCTTCACAGACACTGACATCTGGGCAGGACATCTGAGATGACTGAATCTGACTTCCCTCCTAACCCAGGCCAGGAGAGGAGTGGGCCTTGGCAAGATCAGTAGCCTCAAGGGTGGGACCAGGATAAAAACACCTAGGGGACAGGGAATGAGACCCTTCCTAAAAGGCTATTTCCTTTGTCATGCCTGAGCACCCTTCCTAAAAGCCTATTTCCTTTGTCATGCCTGAGCACCCTCCCTAAGGAGCAAAACATTATCTGTCTAACAAAGGACACAGAAAAAGGAGTTATTTCTCTATGACCGAACCTAACTGGTAGTAGAGTGAGTCCTGTGGTCCTGTTGTGCTCATTACTATCTTTTTTTCCAAATCATGATCAAATAATAAAATGGCTTCTCTATGAAAAGAATACACACAGTGAAGATTCTTAACACAAGCTGTCCGTGTGTTCAGAAGGACTGTGGGTGGCAAGGACTCCAGGAAAGAAGGAGCGATGTCAGGGGCCCTTTTGTACTACTATAACAGAATACCTAAGGCTGGGTTATTTATAAAGAACAGAGATTCATTTCTCATAGTTCCAGAGGTTGGGAAGCATTCACCAGATGAGGGGCTGCATCCTGTGAGGGCTTCTTGCTGTGTCATTACATGGCAAAGGAGAGGAAGAGGAGGGACCTGCAGCCTCAAGCCCTTTGATGAGCTGCATAGGGCCATTCTTGAGGTGGGGGCCTCATGACCTCCTCCAGTGAGGTCCCAGCACCTAACAACTGTTGCACTGGGGATTAGGTTTCTGACACATGAACTTTAAGGGACACGTTCAAATCATATCAAGGGATGACACTGGTCAAATTGAGTAAACGTGAATCTGAAAGGATTCTGCATCAGAAAAATCACAGGTTTTTGTTTGTTTTTTAATCTTGTTGTAGTTGTAGATGGACAGAATGCCTTTGTTTTGTTTGCTTATTATGTGGTACTAAGGATTCAACTCAGTGCCTCACACAGGGAAAGTAAGTGCTCTGCCACTGAGCTACAGCCCCAGCCCCAGGTTTTTTTTTTTTTTTTTTTTAAATCCTGAATTCAAGCAGCTCACGTGGTCTAACCTTCTCCCAACCACAACTAGAGAATAAGCCTCAGTTCTGCCATCTGATGAATGGGAAAACCCAGGTACAGAGAGCCTAAGATAAAGACCCAGGACAGCCCAGCACATTCATGATGGGGGGGGGGGGGGGGAAATAGGAACAGGCCCTGGGGAGCTACCTCCGTGGACTGTCCTTACACTCAGATTCTGGTCCCTGGCTGTGCTCTCTCTGCCACCTTCTGATCTAACCTTCACTTCCCAGATAGATTCTTCTGCTTCACAGAGAACCAGCCGGAGGCAGCTGCACCATGACTCAGCCAGGCAGTCAGGCTAAAGTCAAGCCCTGATCCTGCTGACAGCATATCCCCTTGTCACGGTGTGATGAAAATGGCCCCTGGCTTCCATGCTCCTCCCAAACATGTCACCCCAGTCCAGCCACGAGAAACACAGCAGACAGGTTTCCAGAGGGGCCTCGTTTTAGGCAGCTCTTTTGCTGCTGCGACCAAAAGACAGGAACGATTTTAGAGGAGGAAAAGTTTACTTGGGGCTCAGGGTTTCAGGGGTCTCAGTCCACAGATGGCCGGCTCCATTGCTGTGGGTCAGAGGTCAGGAAGAACATCATGGCAGAAGGGGGTGGGGGAGGAAGGGACTCAGGAGATGACACTAAGAAGCAGAGAGAGACAGACAAACAGCTCCACTTGCCAGGGACAAAATATAAACCCTAAAGGCACACCCCCAGAGATCACCTCCGCCAGCCACACCCTACCTGCCTGCTTATCACCCAGCTAATCCCATCTGGCGACTCATTTACTGATCAGGTTAAAACTTGCATGACCCAGTCATTTCACCTCTAAGCCTTCTTGCATTGTCTCCCACGTGGGCTTTGCGGGGAACCTCACATCTGAACCACAACAGGCCTCCTATGGTGTACCTGACCAGTGCTCCTCAAAAACATCAAGATCAGCAAAAATAAGGGAAGTCTGAAAACCATTGTGGCCCAGAAGAGCCTGAGGAGACAGAACCGCTAGCCCAGCGTGATGTCCCGCGTGGGACGCTGGAACCGCAAAGCAGCATTAGGTAAGAACTAAGGAACCCCTGAAAAAGGCAGGGACTCAGGTCCATCCGAGCACCCGGCTTTGCTTCATGACCTGAAACCCATCCCCATGCTGAAGCCAGATGTCAGCAATGGGGCCTGCGCCTGGCAAAGGCAATGATTTGTGTTGGAGTTTTCGTGACATTATTTTGTCGTCCTTTTCACACACCCAGTTCATGACGTCCACTTGACGCAAGGCCAGTACCCCAACCATCCTTTCTAAGTCATACAAATATGTATTTTAAGGCAGAAGGTTTTTTTAAAAAACCAATCCCTACACACATTCCTTTCCCTGCAGACTGATCCCCACACTGTCCTCAGTTTCCTGCTTCCCACGTGTCCAAGGGGTGAAGTGAACCCTCATCTCCTGCAGCAACCCTGTCCTTGTCCACTGGAGCAGGCCAGCAGATGATGCCAGATGAAGTGGGCCGAGGTCTGGTCGTGGCAGGCGTGCGGTCAGCAGCTGCTCAGTTTCCACTGCACTTCACCTGCCAGCCGCTCACCCCTCCCCATCTTCTCCCCCACTCCAAAGTCCTCTAGATGGACAGCATGTCTAACCCTCGGGAACATTCCAGCAGAGTTCTCCATCCCCACCACTGCAGCACTGTCCACACCCCAAAAACGAAGCCTCAAAGGAAGTCCCAAAGTGAAATGTGTCCCTCCCTTCACTTCCAAACCCCCATGCACGATGCACTCCCCACACAAGGTCCCCAATATTAAGACAAAATGTGAACCATTTCCTAAATGAGTCCCAGTTTTATCTTGTTCTCAGTTTCACTGTATTTTTATTTTTCCACTCCTGCAAATTACTATAGGACTTAGATCCCCCCGTCACTAAAAATATGATGTCAAAGCCACGTCCAGGCAGCTCCATCCCCCCACCCACCCTCCCCTCCACTAGCCATATCATTGAAAGAAAGTCTCCTACCTTTCGCTGAGGCTTCTCCACAACTGTGCACCTGCAAGAGGGAGAAGGAAAATGAGAGACTTAACCAAGCTGCGCTCTCCTGAGGCATTTCCCAACTTAAAAATATTTACGAGATATGTCAAGTGGAACCTTGAGATCTTCAGGCGCTGCAAACTATCAGATCTTATGAGGTATACTGCTGGTGCCAAGGCTAATTCAGGCAGTTAATTCACAAAAAAAGTTAGTGGAATCCTACTACATGCAAAACAGTTGAGCCGGTGCCCTGAGGGATGGAATGCTCCAGCACACACACAGTTCCTGCTTCGGGGGCTTCACTGTCCAATGTGGCAGACCAAATGTGTGCTCCAGTAAATGTGAACCTAGAGAGGCAGAGCAGGAACTGCACAAGAGGAGGAGTAACCATGAGGTTCCGGGGGAGAGATTATGTGGCTGCTCCAGGGAGCATGAATAATAGAGGTGGCATTGAAGGTGAGTCTTGGCATCATCCTGGCAAACTGAGACAACTGTGACTGGAAAAGGGAGATTTTTATCTAGTCATTCTTTTTTTTTTTTATTAGTTGCTCAAGACAATACAGTGATCTTGACATATCATACATTTGATTCAAATAGGGTATGAATTCTCATTTTTCCACGTGCACAGATTGCAGGATCACATTGTTATACATCCATGTGTATACATACACCAATCCTAGTGTCAGTTGTATTCTGCTGCCCTCCCTATCCCCCCTCCCCTCCCCTCCCCTCACTATTCTCTACCCATTCTACTGTGACACTTATCTCTCTCTCTCCCTTTTTTTTTCTTCCCTTCCCCCTCCCACCATCATATATGTATTTTGTGATCCCATGAGGGTCTCCTTCCGTCTTCCGTGCAATTCCCCTTCTCCCTCCCTTTCCCTCCCTCCTGTTTTCCTTATTTCGTGGTAACCTTCTTCTCATGCTCTTCCTTCCTACTCTGTTTTGAGTCACCTCCCTTATATCAGAGAAGACATTTGTTTTTTTAGGGATTGGCTAACTTCGCTTAGCATAATCTGCTCTAGTGCCATCCATTTCCCTGAAAATGCCACGATTTTGTTATCTCTTAATGCTGAATAATATTCCATTGTGTATAAATGCCACATTTTTTAATCCCTTCATCTGTTGAAGGGCATCTGGGTTGGTTCCACAGTCTAGCTATTGTGAATTGTGCTGCTATTAACATTGATGTAGCTGTGTCCCTGTAGTATGCTTTTTTTAGGTCTTTTGGGTATAGTCCGAGAAGGGGAATAGCTGGGTCAAATGGTGGTTCCATTCCCAGCTTTCCAAGGAATCTCCATACTTCCCTCCAAATTGGCTGCACCAGTTTGCAGTCCCACCAGCAATGTACAAGTGTACCTTTTTCCCCACATCCTCGCCAGCACTTGTTATTGTTTGAATTCATAATGGCTGCCATTCTTACTGGAGTGAGATGGTATCTTAGAGTGGTTTTAATTTGCATTTCTCTGATAGCTAGAGATGGTGAGCATTTTTTTGTGTGTTCTTGTTAATCGATTGTATATTCTCCTCTGTGAAGTGTCTGTTTAGATCTTTGACCCATTTGTTGATTGGGTTATTTGGTTTTTTTGTTGTTTAACGTTTTGAGTTCTTTGTATACTCTGGAGATTAGCACTCTATCTGAAGTGTGAGGGGTAAAAATTTGTTCCCAGGATGTAGGCTCCCTATTTACCTCACTTATTATTTCTCTTGCTGAGAAAAAACTTCTTAGTTTGAATATGTCCCATTTGTTGATTCTTGATTTTAACTCTTGTGCTATAGATGTCCTATTAAGGAATTTGGAGCCCGACCCTACAAGATGGAGATTAGGGCCAACTTTTTCTTCTATTACATGCAGAGTCTCTGGTTTGATTCCTAGCTCCTTGATCCATTTTGAGTTAACTTTTGTGCATGGTGAGAGAAAGGGATTCAGTTTCATTTTGTTGCATATGGATTTCCAGTTTTTCTAAACAAGAAGGGTGAAACAGGTGGTATAGCGATACCAGATTTCAAACTATACTATAGAGCAATAGTAACAAAAACAGCATGGTACTGGTACCAAAAAAGGCAGGTAGACCAATGGTACAGAATAGAGGACACAGAGACCAATCCACAAAATTTCAACTAGCTTATATCTAGTTATTCTTTAGGTACAAGCACAAATGAAAGTATATAGACATGCATATAATTTGCTTTTTAAAATCTCCAGTGACTGTCTTCAGTGGCTCATTTTTTGTTTGTTTGTTTGTTTTTTGCAGCCCTAGAGAATGAACCTGGGGTGCTGTATCACCGAGTTATTCCGAGTTGTTTTTTTTATTATTATTATTTTTGAGTGAGAGTCTCACTAAATTGCTGAGGCTAGTCTCAAACTTGAGATTCTCCTGCCTCATCTTTGGAGTCCCTGGGACTATAGGCATGTGCCAGCACACCTGGTGACCGAGTCTTAATATTATACTCAAAATAATAAATGGCCATGAGAACATTTCTGCATGGTCCATCAGACAAAGGGTCAAAGGTGTCGTCCTTATGTTCTTCACAATCCCCTATCAAAGGTCCAGGTGATAAGTTAACTTCCAGGAAAAAGTTTCTCAAAACTGTTTTCTGCATTTCCTCAGACCACTAGAACTGTGCAATTAAGTCTACAGCCCTACCTACCACCCTGAACATGCCCCATCTTTCTGATATCAGAAGCTAAGCAGGGTCAGGCCTGGTTAGTACTTACATGGGAGAATTGCACAATTAATCTGATTTCCTTTTTGCCTTGGTTGCCTGTAAGCAAGGGGATAAACCTGTTGCTCAGAAATGTTACTCTGTTGGACTTCTGCTCCTCTGATAGACCTCTTGTAAACAGCATTATGTTTTATGTCCCTTATATGTCCCTTCAAATTCTTTGGCGTTAGGTGGCATATAAAAGCAAATTAACAACAGGAGAGAACTCAGGCAATTGTGAGCAAGAGTGAGGTCCCAACTGGAGTTGGGAGCTGGATGGACTCAATTCTACAGACATCAGCACACCTTGACACATGACATTTCCATAACAGCTCTGCTGCCAAGAGTCGGGAAGGCAGACGGTGGTACGGGATGCTAGTGTGCTTGCTTGTCTTGTTATTTAACATGGTGGAATAAGTATGGTTGGTGGACAAGGGATCAAGGACACTACAAATAGCAAGGACAGAATCTCTACAGTCTTTGAGCACAGACTGGGGGAATGAGCAGAGAAGGGGCTGAGGGATAGTATGAGAGGCAAGGGGCTGAGCAGGAAGAGTAAATCAAGAGTCCCCGAGCCAGCTCAGCAGGAGCAAGGAGCCAGGGAGGGTAGGTGCAGTGGCAATTGAATTTCAGGCTTTATAAATGGTGGACCTACAGTACCTTCCAAAGGCTAAGATCAAAGATGAAGCTACCTAGCAGGTGACCATCCAGCCATCATCTGAGCCAGAGAGAACCACAATCAATGGAAAGTGCATGAAGATCTAAGTGGACCACAAGCCCTACATATCCCTATTTCATAGCAGCAGAAGGGAGAAGGCCTAAAGGGATAGTGGTTGCAAATGCTTCCCACTGGTAGCCCTGGGGAGTGAGGGGGACACTGGCTAAGCCCTTTTTCTATCCACAGAGCTGTAGCTAAAGATCTTAAAGAGAGCCTGGGGTGGAAGTGGCTGGGTCTACTGCAATGGGGAGAAAAAAAAAGGTGGTAGGATCAAGTTTAGGAATGGGAGAAGAGTTCTCCATGGCACAGAAGAATTCCCCAGAGCGGAAATGATGGGTTAACACAGGGGCACATGTGCTCCAGGAGCCTGTTAAAGAGAGAAAGGAGAGAGATCTGCTGCAGAGCGTGGCCTACGCAGACCAGCCACTCACAATAGGATGGGGGTTCCCTTAGGTTTCACAAAAGCTCACTCATTGGGTGGTAACTCTGCTCCCCCATCCCAACTGCTTTCTATTTCATATTAAGCACCTAGGATGGTACCAAACATCATAACTAGGAGTACCCCAACTCACAGAAGCAGAAAATAGAGTGGTAATCGATCAAATTACATTTTTATGTATGTACAAACATCCCACGAGAAAACCCACCAATCTGTATAATTAAGACTCACCAATAAAAATTTTTGAAAAAGAAAGAAAGGTGGTTGCCAGGTCCTAGGGGGAAGGTGATGGGGGACTAGTCACTAGGTGCAGATGTTCAGGCATCAAGAAAATTCCCAGCCAGAGCTGCTCTGCAACATGCACCAAGGTAATAACACAGCACTTGAAGATTCGGTCAGAGGGTTTAAAGAAGATAACAACTGGGAGAGTGGTATATGAAGTTCGTGAACATCTTCAGTCACAAATGTGGGGAGCAGGGAAGCCAAGAGAGGGGGGAGTGGCAGAGCTGCCGGCAGCCCTGCGGCCTAGTCTTCCCCGGTGCTGTAGTGGACACGAGCCAGCTATCTGCCAAGAGTGGCTGACGGCTCTGACTGAAGCCACGGAACTCCCAGAACCACATCTGCATCCAACTTGGAGCGATTCTGTGCCTCCCTGGGACTGGGCATCGTGGCAGTGCACTGTGCTGGAAGCCCCCACCAACAGGCTCAGCCAGCCATTCACCAGCTCAATGGGGTCTTTGTTCTAAAGACTCTCTAAAGGAGGCTGAGGAGCCACCAGGGTTTCTCAGTGGCAGACTGGGGAGCTCTGGGAAAGCACAGCAATGAATTCCATCTTCCTTTTCCTTCTTTCTTACAGAGAAATGCTGTATTCAAAGCAATGTCACCTAGTGGAAACCCTGAGAGAAAGGCAGGCCTGAGACAAAGGCAGGTCCCCCAAGGCAGACCATAAGAGCTCTGCTTGGGCAGGGAGCCTGGCGTGTCTGGATCCCCATGGAAGCCAGCGCCTACACAAGGCCCTGGCAGAGAAGGCACTCAACCCAGACTGACTAACCAGTGAACAGACACCATGCTCTCCTGAATCTGTGTCAGCCAGCAGAGGAGAGGCCGCTGTGCCAAAAGTTCTTTTTTTTTTTTAATTTATTTTATCTTATTGGTT